CTAAAAAGCTAATTACTGCCGTTAATAAAACGGAATTCATGATTTTGTTGATTTCGGTCTACTCAGTTCATGGCCTCTCATCCAGTTTATTACGTAGTGTCCTCAAATTTTGAGTAAACTCTGAACCATGAAATTCGACCGTCGCAGGTTTAAGTTTATTCACTCATTCAAGGATAGACAGAATCTCTCAGGCATTTCCTTTATTTATTTATTTCAAATGGCAGGCGTTTTGATAGTTATCATTAGCTCTTTTACTGACTTCGGGCTTCACATGGGGAAGGAACATCAAAGTAACAGGAAGTCGAAGGGTGGGGAACCGAAGAGTGATTTACAGATGTAAAAGAGACAGACGTAAAAGCGGAGAAAAGGTAGGATGAATACTGTGGAAGTGGTAGAATATGACACAGTGGGGTGATGGTAGTTTGATGTCAGAAGTCAACTACCAAATATGACTTTTTTACCGTATGAGTATACGTTGCCCAGGGTGCACCACGTGGAGGTAAGTCTATCGCACACCTTTATTTTATTCCTTTTATTTTCCATGTTATGGAGCAATTACTTGATGCTGTCATTTTGTTTTTTTCGTACTGCGGGGAATACAACTTCAGCATGAAAAAAGCGGAGGCCTCTCGACGTGGTTTTCGTGCCAGAAAGTCCTTTTTATGATAGAGTTTCACGTCACTACACAAAACCCAAAATAAATGCATTCCAGTATATGCGTCTGCTTCCTCTGTAGCTTCGCGGTAGCTTAGCTGATTCTGGGAACCTCCCAAATTTGTCATTGCGATTTCTAGTATAGTCGAGTCTCGTTGGTGTGACAATCTGCCACAATGCTTACAACTTGAGGTATTTACGTCGAAGCTAATAACATTTCGGTATTCAATTTGAGTGGAAAAATTATAAATGTAAATGAAAGTCACTTGTTTGAGCTTTGCCAAATTATGACAAATCATAAGCTGGATGTTGGGTTTCAGTATTGATCTGCATCAGGGAATTAGATGGAACATCTTGCTCTCAATCCCTAAGGAAGACGTTTACTCATTTCCTTTCAAGTCTCAACTGATCAACAAGTTGGAAAAAGACGTCCGAACGATTTAGAAGGTGTCAGAAAGACCGGTGGGTTGAGGCTTGGATAGGGAATTTGTATTGTTATGTCTTTCGAGAATTCTCGCATATTTGGATCGCGAATTATTATCTCAATGCATAAAATGATTACCGACAAAAATAGTATAGTAAATTGACAATTTTGTAAAAAAGGTGCAACTTAGTTTGAAATATGGGAGGGTCTACCGAATAAAAAATTGACCCATTTTAGGACAAACGGTAAGCAAATTGAAAGTTATTAAGTTTTGCAAAGGAGGAGATAAGTTCGTTAAAAATATTTAGGTTTAATCAATCTTTAAAGATGATGAATAGCTTGGTCGATAAATACTATCCGAATGTATCCCCTTGGACTGCAAAAAATTAAAATTCAAACTGATATCAAATGAAGTTTGATTTCAATTAATCTTTTCTTCAGAGAATTAACTTCTTTCCATTCTTACGCGAGTAAATATAGTATTGGCATCATTGATTTGCTAAAAGGATGTAATTAGACTGGACATTTAAAGGCGCGATTCGTCAAGAGAGACTTTATGTAAACTTCAGTAAGAGATTGTCAGCTACTATACTAAATGGCCGAGGAGTAACAGATGGTCATGAATAAGTTAATCAGATAAAAGATAATTGATCAAAATAATAGATTTGAAGTTCAACTGAAGTTTATTTCAAATCTAATGCAATTAGGATTGTACTTTGATGATGACTTTAAGTTGAGTTAAATTGCAAAATATATTTGGGTAGATTAGAAAAATTGGGCATTAATTATCAGAAAATGAAAAGATCACTTTAATTTCTATAACGCTTGATTTGGAAACCTTAAATTATAAAAGAAATAAATATAGGCTGGAAGATGACACAATCAGAATTAAACATTTATTGATTCTGGCAAGTTTTAATGTGCTGCAAACAAAGAGGGGCACTGAAAATTATTTGATCTTCAGGAAGATGCATAGAGTTTTCGGAAGAGGAGGCGGTTCCAAGGCAACTGCTCCAAATCTGACTGATGCTGCAGCAAATGTAAGGAAAGATTGATAAATTGACATATAATTTTAAAGATTGAATCACGTATAGAAACTCTCGAGAAATCTATCAATGCGAAGAGAAATGAAGCAATGAAGTATCAACAGCAGCTAAAAAACATGCGCGATGGGCCTGCTAAAAGGTCACTCAAAACGAAGGCTCTAAACGTTCTTAAGCAGATGAAGGTTCTTGAGCAGCAAAGAGATATGCTATACAATCAGAGCTTCAACATGGGTCAAGCCTCATTTGCCATTCAAAATGTAAAGGATACCCAAACAACTGTCAAGGCGATGAAAGCTGGTGTTAAGGAGTTCAAGAAGGAAACAAAGAACATGAAAATTGAAGATATTGAAGATATCAATGATGATCTATTTGATATGCTAGATGTGAATAATGAAATCGGAGAGGCTCTCGGTCGTTCAGATATTATCAACACAATCGATGAGTCAGAACTTGACGCGGAATTGGAAGCGCTTGGAACTGCTGACGATTTCGAAAGTTTCATGGGCGCCGATACCGCACCATCTGTTCCGTCTGCTGATATTGGTGGTTCTACTGTTCCCAGTGCTCCTACCGCTGCTACCAGTGTGAGTTTTATTTTCTTTAACATGCTTAATGCCAGTGCTTGGTCTTCTTGCTGTGTTACTACTACAATAGTTTGCCTATCACGCCAACTAAGGTCAACATCGGATTACAAATGAATATATATAATCATTCGCTATTTGTATAGTCATTGTATTATTGTTATAGAAATTGTAGTTCGTTTTTGCATGTTTAGATCAGCCCATTGTGTTCAACTCAGTCTGGGTGATCGAATTCATTAGTTTTAGATATATCTAATAAAATTGTCGATCTATATAGTCTTGAATTATACTGTCCTTCTCTTTTTCTCGAATCCATCATTAGTGTCAATTTTGCTAAGTTAATGATTAAGGTTTGACCACTGTTGCTGCAACTTGGTCGTAACTTAAGCCCCGAGTTTAATACACACAGCAACTGATGATCGTATATCTATCAAAGCCCTTCTCTATTAGTTCATATTGATGATATCACAGCATCCACTTTTGTATGACACAATCAGCCGACGCCCCCAATTTCATGTGGGTGTCTTGGGTTTTTAAACTCTATTCTCGAAGCATCCAATTTAAGACTTCCCATTTTATCTGCTTTCTGTTATCAAACTAATACAATTGCATTTACATCTTGTATTTTTTAATCAGTGCAATTACGCTTTCTTCCTTGTAGGGCAATGTTCCTCTCGACGAATTTGGATTGCCGCAAATCTGAAATGTATTTCATCGGATGTATGTAGCTTCATTTTGTTTATTCGCAATGATTTCTCCCAGTCTAAAGGAGCAAGGACTCCCCCCCCCTCCCCACTATCTTAATAAATATTCTTTTAAGTCTTCTTGCCCTATTTAATAGTGCCCTCTAAGAAGAATTAAATTTCATTGATTGGGGGACCCAACCAGCTCTATTTTTCAAAAACAGTTGTCGTAAACATTATCTACGCCTATCACTTACTTAATGGGTCGGTGTGTTTGTTTGATAACTAGTTGTGTAAATAAGCATCGCGAGTATGGACAAGATATGAGTGGGGAAGTACGACAAGTTGTTGCCGTTGGCTAGTAAGGCCAACAGCGAAGGGATAAAATATGCAAGTCTTCAACCAAGGTTCGTTGGGTCGATGCGAGTTTAGTAATACAAACACCCAGTAAGACTGGTTACTTATGGCTAGCAATCTTTCATCCAAACATGTTATGTGAGGCCTGTATTGGTGCAAGGATAACGAACGACACAATTGGAATGCCTAGTAAGCGCTGTATTCGATAGCCATTGGGGCAATTCAAAGGAACAATGATAAAAATAGGAGAATCTAGGAAACCAGAACAATGCTAGGTTTCATTAAGACGGAAATTTTATAACAAATGCGATATAAAAATGTATAGCCAAATAAGCACAATACTGAATAAAACAGTTCAGATGAGAAATTCTAATTCTCTTTTATTCATAAAGCCACAATTCATCAAATAAAATGAAAAGAAATAATGGTTAGAAAGTAAGACTATATATTTGATGACGAATTGAAAGCTTGTAAAAGGTTTCGAGTGATAAAAACCTAACTAATTATTCATGTTTGTGATCTTCAAATCCCCAGTATCTTTTCATTTGCTGGAAAAAGGGCGTCTGACCATCACCCCAGGGCAAAGGCTGCAAAAAATGAAATAAAAAATATTATATTACCCTAATATCTCTTGGAAATGGTTTCATAAACGGAGGTCCATTTATTGCTTCCAATTCGAGACGCTTTGCTTTAGCACGCTTCATAAAACCATAGGCCCAGAAACATGCTGGGAACACTGAAATACTCAATACCATCCATACCACCTTTTTGGCTATCAGACAGAAATATTTACTTAATTTCGAAAACTAACTTGTGCTAATGACCTCGTGTTTATGAAAACGCAAATTATAACAGCGTTGCGAATTTTGAAGAATTGCAGGTAATTTATTCATAAGTCCAGACTATTCAATATTGGCGGTCAGTGGGGAATGGTTCCACATTTTCAAGGTTAAAAGTTAAGTAAAGAGCACTCTTGTACATGAAATCTGTAAAGAATATCAAGGGAATATAGCTATAAAACAATAAAGATATTTGAGATAATAAAAAATATGAGAATGAAAACGTATATAGAAATATATAAAAATAATAAATTTTATTCGTCACGAAGTCTAATAAATACTTCATTTCAATTGAGGAATTAGTTCAATAAATTGTGAAATAAAAGTGATATTAATTTTGCGCTTACGTGATCGGATATTAACATATATATGTTATATCTTGTGTAAGTAAACATGAGTAATAAAATAGGTTTCTAAAAACGCAAATGTTGTGTTGATTAAATGGATTATTTTGAAATTTTAATTTGGCACTAAGAGTATCTATCAATAAAAATTTCCTAGATAGTTAACGTTTGGGCGATCTGATTTATACTGCGGCAACTGTTTTGAAATGGAATAACATCAATGACAGTTGTTAATTGAACCTAATTTTTGAGTGAATCCTCTCTTATGAATTGTAATCTTCGGTCATTCGCTATGGAATTAGTTTTTAAGTAAACGTTAACTCCTAGATTTCTAAATTCCAGAACATCCATAGAATGTTAAAACCCATAATATGAAAATACTGTTGGCAATGCGGTTCGATAAGAAGGAAGAATGATCTGTCTTAATCATATTAATCAAGGCGTTGATGACATTGTATCGGTTTAATTCAAATGTCGCTTTAGTACTTAGAACGAATGTTAATTATCATACAAAAAGATATAAAAAATTTAAGATTTAAAATAAAAATGGTTCTTAGTTTAAATAAATTTATTTGGGTGCACATAACATATAAATTCTTTTGTCATCTATTGACCTTGAACGTGCCCGTTTTATGCGCTAGGCTTGCATAATTAGCCTGATGTTGAGTGGAATGGCGGTGCATTACCCTCGTTCTCCGATGAGAGATATTGGCGACTTAGACGTTGCAGTACGAAATATAATCTCCTGGATGGCTTCAAATGGTCAATTTCCTGATCCTGTCATTGTGCAGCAATATCTTGCAGAAGCATGTTGATATTGTTGACTTAATTTCTTTTAGTTTCATCCAGAAGCAATCGAATATATGGCCAGATCTAGAATCAATCCAAATAATATCCCAGCTCTTGTTGCTCATAAAACATTAATTCAAAAAAATAACGCTCAATTATGGGGTTTCGCAACAGTGAATCCCATTGTGACCCTAGCAGATCTTCAAAAATTCTTAACAGTAAGCCATTTGTTATCTCAATGTTTTAGCATGCCTACTCAACGCTTGGACCAGTTTTTTGCCTGCCTGTGGCTAAGCAGATATTTGGAGTAACGGAGTTTCATCCCGCTGTTCTATATGCTTTTAACACTAATGAAATTGACAGCAATTATCGGCCAACCACGAGCGATATTATGGATGAAATCATAAAGTGCTATAATAGAAAGAAAACTTCCATACCTCCTGTTGGCACCGGCCGATCATATAATTGGTGGGAATCTGTGTTTACTGGAAATTTTCTTTCTCTACTTAATGATCCTGAAGCACCGAGTGAACAAACTCCTTTAGACCTTGAAACATTGAAATTTAATAAACTCGGCATTTATGGGATACGCATTAGGGGATTTACAAATTTGCTTGAGGTACGCATTTTTATTTTTTCTTCCTCACTTTTAGGCATTACGATCGGCTTTAAGTCCAAAAAACTACCTTAGCACAGCCAAACAAATACAAGGTTCCATCGAATCGGATATGAGGCAACTATATAGGTCTATCAAGGATAAATATGTTGGTGAATCAGCTATTGGTAGTTATATTCGTTCTTATTAATAGCACGCAACTTATAGAAAATCTTCGGCGGATGAAGCCTAACCACGCTCTAAAACGATTGGCGAGACACTGTTTGTGCTTATATAATGACTTAGTAAAATATAGTCAAGAAAGAGAATTCACTTGGCCCAATGGTTTCCTAGAAATTCTTCTGAATCTCTTCGAACTTCTTACAAATGTTGCCGAGAAAGGTGTAAGTGGAAAAAATTTTCTTCGTTATTTCTATTACGGTTACTTCATCTACTCTTTGTTTTCTAGCCTTTGCGATCAATTTTACGTACAGTGTTGCTTTTTGCCGATTACTCGCCAGTAGAACGTGGGGAAAGATTCCGTTTATTGGAAAATGAATATCGTAAGTAGAAATAATTTTGCCTTATTGTTTTCCAATTTTTTTTTCTCAAATATATTCAGTTGGGGCAATAGATGTCGTTATTTGCTGTTATAAATACCATTCCAAACACACATCTGGTGAAAATCAATAATTCTACCTTACTCGCTCTTTCACTTTTCACCCACATGTCTGATCCTGTTATTCCTGGTTGAATGTCGAATTCATGATCATTGATCTCATAAGCTTGAATGTTAACCTATTCACGTGTGTAGGCTGTACTTTTGGAAACAAGTGAATTTGTAGATCTATAACCTCTGCCCATTGAAATCACTGAATATTTTAAGGCATTTGCTAATGATTTGACGATAATATTGGCGCAGGTGTTAAAAGTAGTGTTTAATAATGTGGGTCTCAAAACCTTACTAGACATTTGAAAATAACATTGACCCGAGCTCCTTAAGAAAGTGTAATTGACAAATTTAGAATTGACGTTTTCTAAATGGGCACTCAACTCTATTTCACTCTTTAATTATCTTTGTCAATATATTATTTAAAAGGAAAGATACTAATCAAAGTCTAATTTCTTCTTATTTCAATTCTTATTCAAGTCTGAGTAAAAATGTATCTTCAAAGGGAATTTTTTGGAAAATAAGAAAATCTTCTTTGATGGGGATATCGCCTGCTGCACCCCCCCCCCCTCTTTTTTTTATTGGCCATTTGAATTACTTAATCCAAGCAGACAAATGTAGTCCTCTTGTTTTTAAGAGCCATCTGCTCTAATCAGTTTTTTTTTGGTATCTACTAGTATTGGATATTCCACTATACTTACTATTCAAATATTAACAAGTGCTCATTTTTACTATTTTATTTGAATAATTATTAACTTGCCAATTTCCTTGTTCTATTGGGTTGGCAACTAAGTCATTGGCGTTTTTGTTGACAGATTCACTCTATACTTTCTTTTGTTTGTTAACGTGGCCAGAGCATCAAACCTGTTAACGTGGCCAGAGCATCAAACCTATATTTTTCTTACTGTATGGGCTTCTAGGTTAATTGGAAAAATATTTTTTTTGTTTAGTTCTTTAGTTTTGTTTTTATTCCAATTTAAAAATGAAAGAACAGAACGTGCACTTCCGACACATTTTATTGTATTACTTCCGAAAAGGCAAGAACGCATCCCAAGCACAAAAGAAGTTATGTGCCGTATATGGAGATGAAGTCTTAAAAGAAAGGCAGTGTAGAAATTGGTTTGAAAGATTTCGTTCCGGTGATTTTTCACTGAACAATTCACAACGATCTGGCCGCCCAGTCGAAGTGGATGAAACTCATATCAAGGCCATTATCGATTCAAATCGTCACAGCACAACACGAGATGATATTGCAGAGAAGCTCAATGTGTCGCATACATGCATTGAAAAAAAATTAAAAACCCTTGGTTATGTCAAGAAACTTGATTTATGGATCCCTCACCAGTTAAAGGAAATTCATTTGACGCAACGGATTAGCATCTGTGATTCGCTACTGAAACGCAATGAGAATGATCCATTTCCGAGGCATTATCAAATCGGAAGGGTGTTGTTTTCCATCATGATAACGCAAGGCCCCACACATCTTTGGTTACTCGGCAAAAATGATTGGAACTGGGTTGGGATGTTTTGTCACACCCACCATATAGCCCTGACCTTGCGCCTTCGGATTACCATTTGTTTCGTTCCATGCAAAACTCTTTAAATGGTCAAATTTGTAACAACGCGGATGATGTCGGATCACACCTAATTCAGTTTTTTAATAGCAAAGACCAGACATTTTACGAAGGGGGAATTTTTACTCTGCCGGAACGATGGAAAAGGTCATCGAGAAGAACGGCCAATATCTAATTGAATAAAGTTATATTTTTAAACAAAAATTCCGAATTTGCCTTCTTATTTGAAATCAGCAATAACTTAGTTGCCAACCTAATATTAATAAAATAACTTCCCTTGGAAAAAGTAAGTGGATCTACTGAAACCTCTTAAAGAGAAGGCCCGATCTGATTATCTTTGTATCTATTTACGTGACATATTTTTCCGAGTATTAGAAAGTGAAATAAGATTCACTTACCGCACGTTGGTGGTTACCAATTCCTACGTTATACATTAAAATACGAATTCTTTATACAATAGGCGAGAGATCACTCGAAGAAATTGTCGATGCGTTCAACAAATTCTTTGATTCATTCTTGGAACGCGTTCGCAATGAGTCTGCTGACCCGCAGGTATCATGGCAACAACTGGCTGATCTTGAAAAGACGCTTTCCTCCGAGTCGTTTAAATCGCTCCTCAGTTCACTTGCTTCCGCCTCTGATGAGAGCTACACTGGACCTAAGCCAAAGGTATGTCCATTTGGTTAACTAATGTGTTACTACGCTTTGCAATTTTTCTAGTTCCTTTCTATCGGTGGCCAAGTGGTGGTTAACAAGCCTCGGGTTGAAGAGGAAGAACGTTTGAACACTGAGTCTAATCAGGAAATTGAGGAAGTTATTGATCTCCCCCGTCTTAGAAACTTCCTTCAGCACCTTACATTTATTACTGAACGCTCCGCTGAGACTTTGTTGGAGTTATCTGCGCGGAACTTGAACATACCTAGGTCCCCTAATGCTCTCCAGACGATCACATGCATTCTCACGGACTTATCAGTGTCACCTAGTAAACGCAGTTTGCTGATTCAGTATGTATTTCCTTTGATAATGTTAACAATTTTAGTCCTCAAGAGAGTAGCTTTCTTGCTCTCCACCGAATGTCTGATTTCCAAATGCCTTCGGAATTATGCACTCAACGATCAGCTGTTCTTGATATTTTGTCTTCATGTCCAGTTCTTCAAGATCCAGAAATATGGAGCTTATGGTCTTACTGCTCGAGTTCCTCACTGTCTTCTCATTGGGGTTCATTAGAGGATTTCCTAAGTGACGCCTCTGATGAAGACAAATGTAAGTAATCATACTGTACCTGTCATTGAATGATAGCTAATTTTATTTATTAGTTTAGTTAATATTATCAGTAATACTAGTGAGCACAGCTTATATGATGGTGTTCATTATTTACTTATTGAGTTCCTTTATTGGCTTATTTTATCAATTTTGTGCAGGAGCGATACAATGTGGTATTAAAATTTTGCTATAATCGACGTAAATAAATGTCTTACAGGGGTAGATAGCGCCAGATCCATTCGGTAATCAGGTTTTGTACATTTTAGTCCATTTTCTCTGCAGTTTGACTGTACGGCCATTGGCTGCGCAATTTAAACTCGTCTTCCTTTGTGCACGATTTTTAGGAATTAGACTCAGTGAACATTGGTAGCTAACGAAATTCTTTAATGTAGTAGAATACAGTTTGAAGTCAGAAGTCAACTGCCGGTCAATAGACTACTGCCGTATGAGTATAGGTTACCCAGAGTGCACCACATGGGGGTAAGTCGCACACCCCGGATTAAGAGAAATTAAAGAACAGGGAAATTGTTATATTTCATTCTGATTTACTTCTAAATTTGAGACGTCAAATTACGATCAATATGCTAATGCTTTAAACCGAGTCTATTTAGAAGGTGTCGTGTGGTTTCCCTATTGAGGAATTCTAATTTACTGAGCTCTTTTATTACCCAAACTTTATTAGTGCGGTTGGCGTATTGCTCAGTGGATGTGGGCTGATATCATATTTGTAACTTCCGACTTCGCAGTTGTTCGTGCTAATTGCAATAATAATAACCATTATAGTAGTAATCGTCTATTTATTAGCGTTTCCTAAATCATCTTTGGAATTACGGAAGTATTCTGTGGTCGGTGATGGAGAAAGCCTCCTATCTGTCACCCTCATTTGGACACAAGTTATCTATTTTGCTTAGTTTTTTCCCATTGTAAAATTTAAATCAATAACTTTTTTGTCTTTTAAGCTCTAATTAAAAATGTTCCTATTACCGATACGCCATGGGGATATTTAACAATCTCAAAATAGCGAGGTGATTTTTTTTCCTCATGAACGGTACTTTACCTTTTTTAATCGTCGCCGTTTTTCCCCAGTACGTGAGAAATACGACCTAGCCATTGTGAAACTCGTTGGTCATGGGTACATCCGATTGAGTACGAATGGTACTCCAAGGGATCTTATTTCGGCCCTGTCGCGGTGTACATCTGAAAGTGCTGAGGCAGATTCGTCTGCGGCCGTCAAACTATGTGATCTGTTAATTGGATCAGTTCTTCTTGTCAATCGTTTCATTCCACCATCACAATGTATTTGTGTACTCTCCTCTCATCTGAGCTCACTTTCAGGTACGTTCTACAAGACATGTCTTACTGATCACATCAATTTGTATGACTCGTTCCTCTTTATATTGTGATCCACTTTTCCAAAGTAAGATTGCTGGCAGTGTTTTTGTATCGATTTTATTTTTCCCCTATCCTCTCTGATCCGATTAATAGTTACGCTAATCAGTTTGCTTAACCTAAATAGATGCTTCGCACCTTTTCTTTTTATTTTGCAGAGGATCTTACCTGGCGCAAACTTATTGCAGCTCTCCTATGCACAATACCTCTCTCGTTGCTGGCAGTTGTTTTCTCAAAAGTAACCCCCCCCCCCTCTATTCACTCAATTTCAATATTTTTCTCTGAGTCTAAATCATTTTATTACTTGGCAGATTATTCAACCTGCTTTGTCCGAAAATTTAATCGCTCTACAAGAAGGAGCGGGAATAGCGAACATTTTGCAGTTTTATAGTGCCACACCTTTTCATAATCATTTGGTTACTTCCATCGGTGTTGTCGGTGGACTCCTGGGTTGGTCAGTTTGGTTAGACGCTTTCAAAACGCGACGCTTTTCTTGTTCACGTCAGCAGCCCCCTATCGTAAGTTGTTAAGCAATAACTAGTTGAGAAAATTTCCACTATTTTAATACTCAATCTTTCTTCGGATAGAAAACGTGTTCGGCTTTTGAGCAAGTTGAAACTGAAGGTCACAAAATGCCTATCCTGTTGCCTAAAATTTCGAACAATGCTGAGGCTGCTATAGACCAACAAGAGCATCAAGAAGTGCTCCTTACTTCGAAAATCCTCTCTCCTGAGACAAAGTCGGAGAACCCTGTTGAAGCTGTTACAGACTGTGAAGGATTTATTGAAAATCTTAGACGTAATGAATTTGGTTTGGGTGTTGATCTGAACTCGGAAGCGTCTGAATTACTCAAGGTAAAGTATACTTTAACTTAAAGCAGGTTTGAATGTAATTAACCTGCATTCAGGTGTCATTTCGGTTATCAAAATAATTAACAAATTGAGTTAATGGAAATACAAGTATTTGAGCTCATTTAATGCGGGCAAAATGGTAGTTAAATAGGTAATTGAAAAAATAGCGATAAGTGTGTATAAAGCATGGTCTAAAGAAATTTCCATTAATGAACATCTTGTAGGTAAGATTTATTTATATCAAATGGCAGGCTTTATGATACGTTGCCCATGGTGCACCACGTGGGGGTAAGTCTATCGCACACCCCACTCTCTTATAGGTAAGATAAGAAACGCAAGGATGTATTATTTCTAATAGGTAAGTGAAAGTTAAAGAAAAATAGTGTGAGGAGGCTGCCATCTTACCTTACACAGTCACAAGCCCTCAACACAGAAGGTGACATGAATATGAATTTGCCAATCTCTACCGATTTCCTATGCTTTGATCAATGCGCTAATCTATATTATCGGAGAGAGGGGGTGTGCGATAGACCTACCTCCGCGTGGTGCACCTTGGGCAACATATACTCATACAGCAATTTAGTCTACTAACCGGCAGTTGACTTCTGACCTGCCATTTGATATAAACTCTTCATACACATATGTGCGTCCGTACTTAGCCTACCTCCAACATTCTTATTGGTTTACAATTAGTTTATTTAGAGTCATAATTAATTTCGAAGTAAATGTTGGCTTAATTAAAATGCAATTCCCAAACAGTGAGGATGGTGGCTTCCTCTCTTAAAATCTAAGGTGTATCTTTCTAGCGCTTCGAGAGTCGGTTGAACCGTAGCTTGGATTATTTGTCTCGCCAACTCTACGGTCAACCTGGTCACTTTATCCTGGAACTTATTCAAAACGCTGACGACAACACCTACGCTTCAGGAGTAAGTCCCAGCGTTCATTTCCACCTTTCTGACTCTGAGCTCACTGTGCGGAACAATGAAGCTATTGGTTTTACTCAAGCCGATATCTCTGCTCTATGTGATGTGGGTTTGAGCACAAAGATTGGAAATAGGGAAGAGAAGACGGGTAAGTTCTAATGAAGGTGATTTTCTTTGTCTTATTGTTTTCTTTAAATGATTTGTTGTTTCTACCTGTTTGAATATGTTTTGGGTGGTCAATGAATCTGGTCAAAATTATCCTTTACTTTCTGACATCACTTGTCAGTTGTTTATATCCTTTGTGATGGTGTATTGTTTTGTTTTGGTTTCTATTTCTTTGTTTCAATAATTGCCATGTTCTACGAAGCTCTCGAAATGTGTTCACGAGGGCCTACGAACCGGGCGAAATTGTCCCTTATCCTTTACGTTGATCTCAGATTCAAATAATTTTTTCCCATTGATTTCTATATCTATCATGGCGCCATGTAGAAATCAGTCAACGTGCTTACATCAAATGGCAGACGTTTTGATAGTTATTATTAGCCCTTTAGTTTACTTCTGGCCTCACAGAGGGGAAGAAGCATCAAAGTGAGAAAAGTCGAGAGAAGGGGGGGGGGTGAGGGAAGGGAAGAGTGTTTCAAAGATGAAAAAGAGGTAGAGAAAAGATAAAGTGAGTACTGTGAAAGGGGTCGCATATGACATACAGTGGGGTAATGGTAGTTTGAAGTCAGAAGTCAGCTGCGGGTTAATGGACTTTTTTGTCGTATGAGTATAACGAAAGCCGAGTGATAGACTTTTTTGCCGTAAGAAAATACGCTGCCCAGGGTGCACCACGTGGAGGTAAGTCTATCGCACACAAACTTCCGGTTAATAGACTTTTTACCGTATGAGTATACGTTTCCCAGGGTGCACCACGTGGAGGTAAGTCTATCGCACACCCACAGGGTGCACCACGTGGAGGTAAGTCTATCGCACACCCCCAATCAGTCAACGTAAGCATCTGTTTTCTGGCGTTAGGGTAGGGGGGGGGGCTAAAGTTTTATTACATTGTTTCTCATTTAGGTTGACGATTATGAATGGTTCTCTGTTGTGACTTAAGAGAGGTTTAGGTCTTCTTGGAGACATGGAAGTTTTTTGTTCTCCTTTTTCTCTGGCTCTGTGCAATTTTACTTTACAGTAAAATTTAATTTAAATTGAGACCACATATATTGCGAGATTCAATTAGCTCCTGCGGCTTTCTAAATCTCTCGCTGGCTCCACCTTTTATAGCATGGCCTTGAGCTAATACATGAGCTTCCTCATTAATACTGGCGTAGCTCCGATCCTTGCGCTCGGATTTAAGCTCTCCAGACTTATGTACCAGCCTTAAACTTAATTCTATTGCCTAATCTCTTGTGTGGATCAGGTCGCAAGGGTATTGGCTTCAAGTCCGTGTTTGCGATTACAAACGCACCAGAAATTCACTCTAACGGTTTTCACGTGCGTTTCGGTTGCTTGAGTGAAAATCAACAATCTGGAGGTATTCTCACACCTGAATGGATTCATGATCCTGCCGATGAGGATCAAACATTTTGGCGAACGTGTCTTCGCTTGCCATTTTCATCCAGCATTGGTCAGGGTCCCACAACCATCCTCCCATACGCTCGAAACCTCCTCAACCACCATTTGCTCCTCTTTCTGAGAAGAATTGGTTCTATCACCTTTCAAACTGATAAGGTAAATTTAGTAACGGTACTTCAAGCGTTCAATCAATCAATAAAGTAGCTCTAAACGATATGTCAATTCAAATTAGAAACTCTCCGAATCTCTGGATTTACACCTCAAACGAGAAAGTCAAGTGCTGTATTCACAAGGGGGTCAACATCCTTCCATTCTCAAACTCATCACCATTACGGAGACACGAGACGGATGCCTACAGTTATCGAAATGGTTACTTCTTCGAAAACGCTTCGTTGTCGACGTGGAGAAGTTATCTAAGATTTCTGGATCAACCGTAAATTGATATTTGCAATTGTGGCTATCTTCTCATCGACCATTTTAATGAATATGTTATTGATTTTCAGGATTATTTCCCTAGTAGAACGGATATCACAATTGCTATTCCTTTAGCCACTGATGGTCCGCCCCCGACCTTCCCCATTTATGCTTTCTTGCCCGTCAGAAATGTGGGCTTTAACTTTTTGCTCAACGGTTAGTCAAGTATTTTTTATCTCTCCGAAACGCATCTATTTTCGTCTCAATTTTAATTAAGTTCAAATAGCTCATTTATTTAATTGTATAAATCACGTGAACCTCAAAGTAACTCGAATTCGGTATGCACTTCATCTTCGTTGAGCATTATGCCTAACGCGCGTAGTCTTTTCCCACATGTTATTCTCAGCGATTTTTAGAATTGACCTTAAAAATTCAGTCACATGAAGGCATTTCTATCGCTATAAATAGTCAAGAAAACAATAATTTGAGCTTGGAAGCACCTTGACTGTACTCTTACTCAAGTGTTGATGTAACTTAGAATTAAGGGCTTTACTTCACAAATTTGATATTCATGTCGGTTGACCCTCTAACGTCCAATTTATTCACTTTTTTGCAAAATGCACCCAACCACACTCACGAGTGTCTCACAGCAAGCTGATGCCTCCGACGTGATGAGTTTTGGTGGCATCAGGCAAAGGCTATAGGGGGCGTATTGTGCATGCTTCAAAGGGCAAGGAGCGTCTTCTATTATGAGTCTTGTTCCAGTGGTGCTTGTTTTGAAAGCCGATCGTACGATGCTAAAGGCGTTGTAGTGTTAAGAGTTATACTTCACAAATTTGATATTCATCTCGGTTGAAATTCACGATATGCCAGTGAATGAGGATTTTCTATTGCTTTATATTTCCTCTTAGTTTGAAATTCCTATGGTACTGGATTAAAAATATACATGATTTCATTAACGCTATAGTTTATTCATTTGTTAAATCAGATCATGGTTAGGTTATTGCAAAATTAGTTATATCGTGAACTATTATTTGCACATTAATGGAATGAGCCATGCGGTTTATGCATTGATTTCTTTTTTTTCAAAAATACAGCTGACTTTGATCTGACATCCTCAAGAGAAGATATTGATGGTACCAGCGTTTGGAATCAGTTCCTGGTCAACCAGATCCCTGATGTGTTTGAAAGTCTCATCGAAAGTGTTACTCATGTAAGATATCGGCACTTTTCGCTTTGCATGTTTCTCTTTTTTTTATTCGAATACTTTCTTGACAAAACTAGATTCAATCTTCTGAACAATTTCCTTTATCCGCAAGTGGAATTCTGGGTCAAATTCTCGAATGTCTACCAATAAATAACCGTAGCAGTCCAGCCTCAACGTTGCGTATCTTTGCCTGTCTTGAAGAGAAGATACGCAGAAAACTTTCAAGCGTATCTTGGATTCCTGTTTTAAGTGGCACTCAATTTGCTAACCCCAACAATGTCTTGCTTCCATCTCAAAATCCAACTAAGGTTATTTGGCCCATTTTCAAAGCATTCATTTTGATGGCTAAGTGCACAGAATGTGAAGTCTTCTTTATTCCTTTAATGTAGAAATTGGATCCCTCTTCTCCTGAAAGCTTTCTCTTCCGCCTTTTGGTTGATCGACGGGGCATGCGAGAAATTGATTCAACATTCCTTCTTCCATCCGTTTCAAGCACAATTGAAGATGAAATTGATTTGCGGTTGCGTATAGATCTTCGCGTGCAAAAACTCAATCGTCTTGGAGTTCAGCAAATTTCTGCTGACGCTCTCATTGAACTTGCTTCCAAGCTCTCGGAAGGTGGGATTGCTGTGGTTGGTAGTTCTATTAATGCTAGTGTTGAGTAGTTAGAGGAAGAATCTAGCAGTTGTGTATCTGATTTTTGGGCCCCAGCTATTCCGATGGCTATATCTACTTTCTTCTGTTATTCTTTGCTCCGATAACAGAATGGGGGGGGGGGTGACCTCAAGTGGCAAAGCTCTTATAACTGGCAGTCTTTGTAATGAGAGAAGGGACCAGAAGAGTTGGATTTGGGGCCTACATGTGTTTTTGTGTGTCGCAAGTGCAATGGAGGGTTCAAGTGATTGTTGCCAGTGTGTGCCTCACCATTAGGAATATACATAAGCAAAATAATCTTTATGGTGTTTATGATTAAATAATCTCAAAAATTATGTAAATATTTTAGTTCTAGAAAAATCTATTGAATTGGTTCATTACATAATCAGCACTATTTCATATCGCATTGTTAAGCTCTCAGGTGTAGATTCGGAATGGTCAAATATTCATAATTACTCCCAAGATACAGTGCTCCTATCACTGAGGTTTTCGAATGGACCGTCTATTTGATCCCTAATAATAGTTTCTTGGAATGAAATTTTCCATTCAACCGCCCCGGGTGGACTTTCGGATAATCCCGGCATAAGGGAAAATGAACAAAGTAGCATTAGAATTTGAAGTTCGACAACATTTGGCGAACCAATAAGCCACTTAAGGATATACCGCACGTTAGCTTTCCAGGTTAATTATCTACTGTAGTAATTTCCTACGAATCGATTTACCTTAAAATCCTGCGCTTAGTTATAGCTCTTTCATTTCCTCTTTCGTTTTGTAACTCAGATGAACTTCGACAGCCTGGTGTTCTCTACGTCCTTCTGGCCAACATTGACGCTAGTCTGCGTTCGTTCGACTCTCAACACTTTGTTTCTTTTGCTCTTCGTTCAGCCTGGCAACGCCGTTGTCTTCGGAAACTCCGAAGTCTGCGTATCTTTCCACTCACAGACGGTAGCTTAGTGAGCCTGGATGAAGGCGTTTCTAGTGACAGTGAACAACTAAGGAATCGAAATTACCTCATGATTCCACCGAGAACATTTGTTTTAAATGAATCGACGTCGAAAATTTCCTACGGTAAGGTTTTTCATAGAATAATCTTGCAAAATTATATAATTGAATGGCCTGTTTGTAACTTTGCCTCATGAAATAATAATGTTTTCATTAATGACGAAGCAGTTAATGTTCTATTCTACTATCAATTGCTCAACGTTCATCACTTCTCATCAATTACTCTATTACGTACTCTCTTTAAGTTTCTTCCAAAGATGACTGTTAGAATGGGCTCAGTTTTATTACATACTAGGAGTTGAGGCAAGGAATGAATCCATTCCACCTGTGAGGGTGTATCTGAATAGTTAGTACTGGTCTCGTTTCAATAAATTCTAAAGAACCTATAGAATCCATTTTGACTACTCGTCAGATTTAACTATATTGAGAAAGCTAAATTCCTTATTTTTTTCTTTTAGATGAATATATCAAACTGCTAAGCCGTTTGGGACCGCTCCTTTCTACATCCGTTGTCAACCCACCCGAAGCGTGTGATCTAAATCCTCCACTTATGTTATTTTCCACCAATGATGAATTATCGCTCGGGTTGGCTATAGCGAATTCACCCCTCGATGTCATTTCCAAATGGATAATCCCCCACCAATTCGATTTCACCCTTGAGAATAACGAGAATGCTGATTGGTTCATTGCCGCAACTTGCTTATTGGCTATCCATGGAGACCTATCAAAGCATGAAACTGTGATTTCTCACCTCCCAATCGTTTGCGAGATTGAAGATGGAACTACGGCTTTATACTCACCCTCTAAAGATGTTATTTTTGCCCCTTTGAAATTCTTGGCACGGCTCCCTGATCAAGAGGAGTGTGAAATAATGTCAGCAATTTTGAAGAATAAGGGAAGCTCCGTTCTTATGGCTTCTTCCAAGTATTTTGAATCATTGGATCTCGCTGACGAAGAAATTCAAGAAAGATGGCAGAAATTATTTTCTACTGTTGGTAAGTTACTTCTCGTGGTTTAGGGTAGTAGCTCTCACATACTTTTAGGATTGTCCACAAACATTGGTTTGGTTTGAAGCAAGCATATACTCATGTTGCTTTGATTGTTTGATCGTCTTTTTCTCTTCTTCATTTTGAGTGAAATGATGTAAGCTAGTATCACCCTGTTATCAGCCCCCGGTAGAATTAGTGTCCCCAAGTGTGTAGCGCCTAGACTTGCTTTTATATCACACTTATTTCATATCACTTTCATAGAGTTTTCTAATAATGCTAAGATAATTGGAATTAAGAGGTTATGGTTTGGAATCCGTAGTTGAGCTTTCTTTATTTCATTAATAAAGACTCGGCCCTAAAGCCCTCTCGTTTAAATTGTGTTTTTTCCTTATTTTAGGTGTTTCTACTATTCAAACACTAATTTCCCGGAAATATTGTACCGAAAGGGGTTCTAACATTTCGGTTCTTCCTGAAAACCATCCTCTTCGAAACTCCCCAGTCTTAGGGAAAATTTCAGGCGAAAAGTCTGCTAATGTTATCATTGAAGATTGGGATTGTCCTAGTCTAAGTGATGTAATTTTGCCCTGGATTGAGCAGATCTCGACACACTCCCCCACTGAAGAGCTAGTAATGAGAGTGTGTACAAAATTGTTCTCCCTTTTGAATCGTAAATGGAAGTCAAATTTCGAAAAGTGAGTGAATCCTACTTGGAATGAGTTACTAATCGATTACAATTAATCTATTTCGCATATTTTAGGTATACTAATGCTGTTGGCCGAACTCCTGACTCGAAAGAGTCAATCGTTATTGGAGCATCTTCTTGGCTTCAAAATCTTAGAACTCATAGATGGTTGGCAGTATCTCCTTTGGAGATGACTGATCACACTTTGATAGTAGCAGCTACTAACTATCCCCGTTCTTCCGTATTAATGGATTTCGTTTCTTCTTCTATCTACTCTCCAGATGCTTTCACACCCACTAAATTTCCACTCCCGTTGCCCACATCTCTTCTCGGTCTCGTCTGTACCATCTGGGAGCCTCTCAGCTCATTAGAAAGGCCACCAAACCCCGACTTCCTTAATGCTCTTGGAGTTAAAGTGGAACTAGACGAGTCGACATTTAAGGTGAGCTCTTTGTCAATTATTTCTAAACTTTTCTTATTTCTTAGGATTTGGTGAATTGCCTCTCTAGTCAGAGGGATAATCTTCCCAGCCTGCTTACTTTGGATAGCATGGTTCAAGTTTACCATCTGGCTCAACACGTTCTCAAAGGCTCCCCACCGGCATTGTTTCGTGAAATATTTGCATCTGCTATTCTAGTTCCTTGTACAAACTGTGAATCTCGTAAACGGCGTAGAATGGTTGAATTGCTTTGTTCTACTGATATTGATGTCGATGAGACATATCCCATCCACTGTCAATTTTGTGACAGTCGTACAAATGAAAATTCTTTGAAACGATCCTCTCCTAGGGTGCATTTCCACCTAGTTCCTTTTAACAGAACCTGCTGGAAAGCAGCGAAACTTCCAGCCCTGGAAAGTAATCCTATTTCAGAAGATTGTGATGAAGAAGAAATGATCATGGTACCACGTCCGAGTGTGAAGTTTAATCCTTCGGTAACCCCGCGTTTGGATGTTTCGGAAAACCGGACAGAGCTGAGTACTATCTACAATGATAACTTCAAATCGTTCTTCTGTGATGTGCTTGAAGTCCCCAAAACTTCATCTCTCGCTGAAGTGCTTTCCATGCGTCCCAGTCCACCGAAATTCGAAATCGACTCGCAGTGGCGTTCAGCCCAAGAGTCTTTTGGTCGTACCTTGGGTGCTTGGTACGCTTTGATCCATCAGTGTTTGGAAATCGATGGTGATAATACTCAACAACTGTGTCAATTAAGAAGGTTCCCTCTTCTCTACGATATGAACGGCAATTGGCGAACGCCTTGCCAGAAAAACGCCAAAATGGTAGGCTCATTTAAACTACATTATTGATCTTTTCAACGCTTTTTTCTAGCTATCGAAAATGTCCGAAGATGAGCTCATTTTCTGTTGGTCAGCCACAGATCTTGCTTCCATGGTACCAAGAAATTGTGTCCTTGGTCATAGTATGGATACTCTTTCAGCTAATTTCAATGAGGAATCGTCTGGATCTATTTCCGATTCACACTCTCTCCTTCTTAAAGTGTTGGCCCTTCCTGTAAGTTACGTTGAAATTCCTAATGTTTTATCCATCTGATAGGTTCTAGAAAAGGTGGTTTCAGTAAATTTAGACACGGCCACAGCCACTATGTTATCGAATCCTCCAAGGGAACTCTATGCCTCGTTGAATTTCTTCCGTCTCTTGACCAAAGTATGGCAATCTTCTTCAAGCTATAAAACCTCTGAAGCCACTGTCTCTGATTTTATGACAACACCCAAGGTCGGTCCTGAAGTTTTTCTGGTAAGTTATTTTCAAATAAATTTGAGCATTTTACCTTCAATCTCTGCTATTTGACGGGTAGCCATCTTCCCAAATATCTAGGTTCCGGATCTGACTTTGAGGTTACAATTATCGAATTCGGTTATTGGCTGGACGATTAAATGCGTGTCCTGTCGATTCTGTTCTGGGAGTCTCTATGTTGATTCGCGATTTGTATCCGATCTGCAGACCGGCTCAAACGAGGATTGCGTATCTTTTTTAGTTGGTGACAAGGGATCAATTAAGGAGCAAATATTGATTGAACTGACTCGCGTTGTCTTCCCAGCTCATCGCCGTAATCAACTCCTTCTTCTGTAAGCTATTGGTTTTTTTGAAGCATTCGCTAAGTGTATGTGTCGTATTTTATATTTTGCTTCTGAAGTGCTCAATGTGATATATGAAGAAAAAGAGTGAAATGGGATGTTTTTTGCTCGCGCTTTTCTTTTGCGAAAGTGTGGTTTCTTAGAATCTGTGGTAAGAAATTCGAATTGTCCTAATCTTTACTCGTTTTGAGCAGCACATCTGCTCAATTTCTTCACCTGATTTAAGTCGTTTACGTGGTGTCTGACTTGGCGCCGCAATCTATTTGATTGATATTGCCGAAATTGGTGAGCTTAGAAGTTACAATTTTAGAAATAGATTTAGGGGAATGGTTAAAAGTCTACGACTAAGTCAATCATTTATACCAAATGGCAGGCTTTACGATAGTTATCATTAGCCCTTTAGTTGACTTCAGGCTTCACAGAGGGAGAGGAACATCAAATCGAAAAAAGTCGAGAGTGGGGGGGGGAACAGATGAGTGTTTTAAAGATGTAAAAGAGACAGACACAAAGGTCGATGAAAGGTGAGGTGAGTACTGCGGAAGTAGTCGAATAGGACATACAGTGGGGTCATGAT